AATAATGCCTAATGCCTAGCTAGTTTTAAAAACCAGAGGGAACCATAGTAGTCCAACAACCTACTGACACATTATACATACCAGATCAAGAAATATATGGCTAAGCAAGGTTTATCTGAAAACAATTGGTTTCTTGCCCAAGATTTATCTACATGGCACAGAGTAATTAAAAGTACCAGACTGGTGGAACTAACCTTGGATGTTTAACAGACATACTTGCTAGTTTTAAAAACCAGAGGGAACCATAGTAGTCCAACAACCTACTGACACATTATACATACCAGATCAAGAAATATATGGCTAAGCAAGGTTTATCTGAAAACAATTGGTTTCTTGCCCAAGATTTATCTACATGGCACAGAGTAATTAAAAGTACCAGACTGGTGGAACTAACCTTGGATGTTTAACAGACATACTTTGAGGCCTATACTAATTTGGTCAGAGGGACATAAAGGACAGTTTTTGCTCCTTGCCCTCCTAGGTCAACTAGTTCCAGGAAACTATGAGCATCTCTCAAAATGTCCTGTAATTGTGGTGGGTTGTTGCAGGTTTCCTCGCAGGTCCAGCCCACGAGGGACTGCAGGGAAGGAGGGTTCTGGCCGAGGTGGTGGGTGAGAGGCATGGAATCAACACACAGACTCTGGGAGTCAGGTGAGAGCAGGCACTAGGCGAGGTGCTGCAGAGTTGTATATTGCTGGGAAGTGCAAGCCTTATATACCTCTCCCTCTGCCCCCAGTGTCCTATAAGTTGGTGTGTCACTTCCTGATCCCCTCATCCGGGCAGGATCCCCTCATCTGGGCAGATTGTAGGTTGGCTATTTTGCAGAAGTGCGGGCCACACTCTCAAAGCAGAAGCTGTGTTCTCTTAGTGCAACCAGTGCTTAAGCCTGGCACTTCCTCTCCTACATATCCATCCCTTTTGATGGAAGCAACAGTGGGTCACCTGTCCTCTTGATCAAGGAGGCTGAGGAGACCCCACAAGATGGACTTGAACCAGTGTCCAGTCTACAAAGAAGAGGGTTAACACAGAGAAATCATTTCTTCCATGCTTCCGAGGAAAGCCAGCCATGGTCAAGCAGGACCTTTGACTTATCTTCACATAGGTGGAACTGGTAAAAGGAGCCAGGGGCTCCTCCCAAGCCCATGTGACCCCTGAGGAACACATCCTCCAACAGCCTTAAGAGTAAAAATAAATTGGTATATCTGGGCCAACTGTATGACCTTAAACACCCAAAAGGAAAGTATAACCAAAGATTAAAGGGGCCAACATAATTTTTTAAGAGTCCATATGTATAGCTAAAGGCTACATAACAAGCAACAATGCCAGATAGGAGATACCTTCTTTTGAGTTGTTGGCCAGGGTAGCCCAAGGGACTCCCAGATAGTAACTCAGCATAGAACTGGGAAAATGAACAGCAGACCCCATCTTATCTAAAGAAATATTGACAACCGATTGCTGCTAGATGAGGAACAGCTGACCTTCCTAAAACTAAGACCTCTAGATAGTGCTCATTAGATTCACCAGATGGACAAGCAGTGGGGAGTGGGGGTGGTGCAGACATCACAGTGGACAGTAGCAGGGATAACAGAGTATAAGGGCCCTAGTAGGGTGAGGGAGGCTATGGGAGGGTGCCATATGGGAAGTGGGTGTACAGTTGAATAAGATAGTTTGGGATTTATGTGTGATGCATGCACACACACACATACACACCATCAACAAATTTTTAAAAATTAATTATATTTGAGGAGGAAGCATAATGGAAATTTACATAATGTTAATTAGTAGAGGTGATTAACATTACCATTGAAATCTACCCAATGACTTTACAGACATACACAGGTGCCAAGGATCTGAGTACAACCGATTATGACTAGTAATGATCTGATACATATAGATTAGAGATGCATGCACCAACAGATAATCAGATACATACAGATGAGAGATGCATGTGCCAACATCTCAGTGTTATTAATGAAAACAATGAGTCTTTCTATAAGAAACAATGTCTTACAGGGCTTATACTGAATTCAATATTGTATAACTGTATCGATTCAACAGCGAACCTAAAAATTTTTTATGGCCACTTTTAAAAGAGATGTATCTTTGCCCTGGAAACTGTTATTGAGTATGTTAAAGTTGTAATGAAATGCTTCTAAAAAATTTTTTTTAATTTTTAAAAAATTTTAAGAAATGGGGTTGGGGGATAGTCATGTAAAGCACTTAGCATTATGTACATAGCAAGCAAACAAATATAACTGGCTAAATTAAGTCCTTACCTTACAAGGAAACTAGTTTAACATAACTTTTTCTTTACTAAGTTAATTGCTCTCCTAAAATTCAGATGGTACACTGAGGGAAAGTTATTTTATTGTATGTATGGAAGAAATTGGTTACTTTAGACCAAAGATACACAGATCACACTAACTTTCTAACACTGTATTAAACAATTTTTAAAACTTTAGAACTTTAACTTCCAATCAACAAACAGTATACAACCAAATCAGTAAATAAATATACTCTACAATTTACATTAAGCTTGGAAAGATCCTAAGAATCAATTCTTTCTGTCTCTGTCTCTGTCTCTTTCTGTCTGTCTGTGTGTGTGTCTGTCTGTCTGTCTGTCTGTATCTGTGTTTGTGTCTGTGTCTGCTTCAGTATTTCATTCTGAGGTGTTTCCAGTGGGTTGATAATTCTTAATTCATATTAAATAGTAATAAACCCATCAATGTGAAAACGCACTGCATAGGCAAATCAGTGGGCACAGGCTGCTAGCCCTAAAAATAAACCCTAAAACCACAAGTCAGGAACTAAATTGGCAGTGTCAGTTCCTTCTATAAGTCCAGGAAGGAATTTAGAAATACTGGTCTGAAGTAGAGATTTCAGTACCATGCTGTAACCCTTGCATACCAGTCTCCTCACACCCCAAATAAGTCATTTGCTGTTTTGGAAAATAACAGTTCCACAACTGTTTCTGTTGACTTCAACTAGAAAAAAAAAAAAAAAGGAAGAGAGAGCCTATGCAAAGCACATTGTACTTCATTGAAAGTTTCTGCTTTTGTTTTGTATAACCTCATTTTAATGTGGTAGCTTTATATGTAATTTATTATTATACTGTTTTTCTTTTAAGAAAATACCTAGGATAAGTAGTAAAAATTATTGATTTTACTTATAACTTGCAGAATTTCTTTGGCCCCGAGTTTGTGAAAATGACCATTGAACCATTTATATCTTTGGATTTGCCACGTTCTATTCTTGTAAGTAGTAAAATCAATTTGTGTTCACCTTGAAAAATAATCTCAGTATTTTTTATTTGAATGACAAGTTTAAATACTTATAATGCTTCTTTCAATAAATTCGATAAATGTTTTTTTCAATTGTAGACCAAGAAGGGAAAGAATGAGGATAGCCGGAGAAAAGTAACCATAATGCTTCTGAGTGGGCAGAGGCTGGAGCTGACCTGTGACACCAGGACTGTATGCAAAGATGTCTTTGATATGGTCGTGGCCCATATTGGCTTAGTGGAGCACCATTTGTTTGGTTTAGCTACCCTCAAAGGTACCCAAATTTTTTAATTTAGAGTTCGGAATGGAAACCTGGAAGCAGCTGATTTCTTGTAACTATTATGCTGGGCTTCATTTGGGGAAAGTGTAAGTGAATGAACAGGTCAACAGTGAGAAACAGAAGAAAATTAGGAACGTAAGTCAGTTTCACTCTTTGTGTTAATGAGTGGGCAACTTCTGTATCTAGTGAGTTTTCTTTGACTATCACTGCAAAAAAATAGCCTTTTGGGTCAGAAAATAATGATTGTTCTTGTTACTACTATGTTAATGATTTATTGTAGGTTCAGATTTTTTTAATCCTTATTACTACCGTTGTTCTGGACAGTTTATTTAAATTGCCTTTACTCATCTGTAAGATGAGAATGATGATAGCTGCTTCATAGAGTTGTCACAAAGATTAATGGATCTATGTATATAAAAAAAATAGCCTTTTGGTTGGGTTTAGATTTTAACCTTTTGAGATAGGATCTTACTATCTAGTCTCAGGCTCCTGCTCTCACATGATCATCCTGCTTTAGCTTCTCCAGCAGCTGGTACTACAGGTCTGTGTCACTGGATAAACATAAAAAATATTTTAGTTATGACATTTTAAGGATATATATATAGCATGCATGGATGTATTTTTTTAGACATAATCTAACCTGTCATCATTATTGCCTTTGGCTATGAAAAGACATATATATATATATGTCACACACACATACATACATATATAGAGAGAAATTAGTCTCTTAATATGCAATTTAATATATAGAGGACTCTGTTTCTAAATTTTCACAACTTCCATAGCCTACTATCTTAAAATCATACAGTGTCTTTTGAATGGTATTGCATGATGTCTTAACAAGTACTCAGTTCAACTAGGTATGCTACACACCTATAATCTCAACACTGGCAAGGCTAAGAGAAGAGGATAAGTTCAAGACAAACCTCAACTACACATAGTGAGATACTTTTTCAAAAAGAAAAGACATAAAGAAATCATTATTTCCCATGTTTTTAGACATTCCATCCATGGAGCTCACCACCTTATGGTCTCAGAACAGTTTCTGTAGATGCTTCCTTGTATCAGCTGGAGTTGTGCAATAAAGAACTCTTCAGAACTGACCTTCTTTCTTTAATAAATCATTGTACTCAATGACTTAGTATTCAATATTGCAGCTCTCTCAACCATTTAATACTTGTTTTCCAAGGTGTTTTCTATCCTTTATGTCATGTGCTTCTTCCAACAACCCTATCAAGCAATAATTGTCATTACCTTGATCTTACAGACAGGAAAATCAACATCAAGAGTGGCAAAGTAATTTATTCAGTGTCACACAGGTAGTGAATGATGTGAGCTGGAGTCGAATCCAGATCTGTCAGTCTTGGAGCCCCAGTTTTTTAAAAGACTGATCCATACTGACTCCACCATACGCAGTGCCACGGAGCCCTGCCACACTTCTGACAGCTTTATTTTATTCTTTTTATTACTACATTAAACAGAAAAGTGAAGGCATCAAAGGGAAGCTTTTATGTCATCTGAATGTTTTTCTCCTTCTCTTTCAGAAAATGAGTATTTCTTTGTTGATCCTGACTTAAAATTAAACAAAGTGGCCCCAGAGGGATGGAAAGAAGAACCAAAGAAAAAGGGCAAAGCCACTGTTGATTTTACTTTGTTTTTCCGAGTTAAATTTTTCACGGATGATGTTAGTCTGATACAGTGAGTACACAGGCATTTCTCTTTTGGTCCTGCTCTTTTGACCCTAGTACTGAACTGCTTCATTTGGATGCATGACAATTTCTTCCTCATCATAAAAGAAATGCATCATTTCCTCTTAAACCACCCCTTTGTGGTCATCGTTTCAGTTACTAGGGGTTAGCCATGATCAGAAAACATTTTATGGAAAGGTCTAGAAACAAAAAACTTTCATTCTTTCTAAATTCCATGTAGTTCTGAATAGTTACATGAAGTGTTGTGCTGACCTACATCATTCTGTCTAGGGCATGTGTCATCCTTTACCCTGAAAGTCTATGTATGTACACCTACTGCCTGTTAGTTGCTTAGCAGCCAGTACCTGGTCAGGTCAGCTGTTACGGCACTGCAGGTCTTGTATTCAGGTAGCTCCTACTTACTAATGGTTCCAGAGCACACAAGAAGTTCCAACAGGCAAAAGAAGCTGTATTTCTCTCCTTTTAAGTGAACAGTTGAAAGTAACTTAATAAGGAAGTTTAAAAAGACATATGCTGAGATTTAGAAGTTCTTTGGTAAGTTGTTGTAATTAATCTCTTACTGTGCCTAAATAGTAAGTTAAACTTCATCCTGTACTTCCACACATAGGAAAATAATGTATAGGGTCTGGTACGGCTCATAGTTTTGGGCTTCCATGAAGCTCATGCTATGTATTCTCCCATGAATAAGGGCAATGTCAGCATTACCCTCACTGTTTCTTGATTTTTGTGCCTTTGAAAACTTAATAGCAAACTTACTGGTAAATCATTTTGTAAATATTTATGCCTAGAATCAAAATCACCCCGAGTCAAGATCAAAAGCCAAGGCTTTGTGTACATTTATTTTTCCCAGGCACAACCTAACTTGTCATCAGTATTACCTTCAGCTGCGAAAAGACATTCTGGAGGAGAGGACACACTGTGATGACGAGACGGCCTTACTGCTTGCATCCTTGGCTCTCCAGGCCGAGTATGGAGATTACCAGCCAGAAGTAGGATTGTATTTTCTTTTTCCACCATCAATTTTATATATGTGGATTTGTTTGTTTGTTTTATATGTCTGTGTTTTGTTTTGTTTCATTGCTAGGGATCAAAACCAAAACCTTGGGCATGGCCCACAAGCATTTTCCCACTGAGCTTAAACCTCAGCCCTTTTGTATTGTTAAACTTATCCTTAACATAATTAAGGAGAAATCCTAGTTGAAATATTGGTTCAAAAGCAATCTTAATATATTTGAAGCTCCTTTGGACCCTCAAAATGCCTAGGCTCCTCCAGTCCCCTGACTCTATACAATCATGCAGTATGAGATTTATTTTTCTATTTAAAGTTATCCTGCTTTGGAGTTTAGGGGTATCTAGCACCAAGCCTTCCTTCTCCCATGTTCTGACTAAAGAGAGTGAAGGAGGTATTAGTCAAGCATGGTCTAGAGGACTCTACTTTCCACACAGACCCACACAGTGATGGGCTGGCAACCTGGCTGAACTATGTGAACTCTGTATTCAAAGCTTCATGTTCCTAATGAAAGAAATATGAGAGGAAGCAGGGGACAGGAGAATGCCACTTTAGCAGCATCCCTCACTACATTAGACACAGGCCCTCAAATGTCCTCTCCTGAAGCACAGCAGTCAGTTCAGCCATTCTACCTTATACTGAAGAAAAGAAAAAGGGAAGTAAATGTATTTCATTTCTTGACAGAAGCAAGAACCTTAAGATGGGAGGAAGAAGCTTCACACCCGTAAAAGGCAATAGAATGGTTACAGAAACATTCATTCTCTTTCTAGGTTCATGGTGTGTCTTACTTTCGCCTGGAGCATTATTTGCCTGCCAGAGTGATGGAGAAGCTTGATTTATCCTACATTAAAGAAGAGTTGCCCAAATTGCATAACACCTATGTGGGAGCTTCTGAAAAAGCGACAGAGTTAGAGTTTTTAAAGGTAAGCATACAAGACAACCAGAGATAAGCAATGCCACTTGTTCAAAATGAGCAAGAGGGAGGAGACACATCTGAAAAGCTCAGGGCCAATATCTGATACTTTGCAACATCTTGCTGCTCGGTTCCTGACTAAAACTGCAGCAGAGAGAGAACTGAGGTTCAAAGAAGACATGTAATATTCCCAAGGTCAATAGCTACTATGGGGGACAAAATTATTACTTCAACTCATATCTAACTGGCTATGAATTCTGTATTTTTCACACTATTCCTTATCTCAAAATGAGTCTGCATTATAAAGAAGAAACAGTTGAACTTGGTGACTGAGTAGGTATGAGGCAAGTTCATTCTCATTCTAGAACTGTTTTGTTTTCCAAAATGTTAAGATTCAGTAATATTTTTTAATATTTTATTAATTTTTATGTGTATGAGTGTATTGCTTACATATATATAAGTACACTCATGTTTTGTAATGCCTGGGAAGGTCAGAAGAGAGAGCTGGATCCTGTGGAACTGAAGTTATGGATGGTTGTTAGCTGCCATGTAGGTGCTGGGAATCGAACCTGGGTCCTCTGAAAGAACAGCCAGTATTCTTTTTTTATTTTTTTGGTCTTTCTGAGACACTATAATCCCAGCTTGACCTGGAACTTGCTATGTAGACAAGGCTGGCCTTGAACTCACAAAGATCTGCCTACCTCTGCCTCCTGAGTGCTGGAAGTAAAGGTGTGTGCCAACATGCCCACCTGTAAGCAGCCAGTACTCTTAACCACTGAACTATCTCTCCAGCACTGAATTTCCACTGAGTGCTAATTAATTCATACAGATGCAGAAAGTCAGAAAAATTAGCTTAGGTTGTGTTCTGCCTGTTAGATTATGGACAGATGAAATGCATTTATGATAGAAAGGACAGAACTCTAAGATCCAATGCAATAGCAAATATAAGAAACTTTTCTATTGGGGCTGGAGAGATGGCGCAGTGGTAAAGAGCACTGACTGCTCTTGTAGAGGATCTGGGTTCGATTCCCAGTACTCACATGGTGGCTATGAATCGTCCTTAACTCCAGTTCCAGGGGAAGCCCTCTTCTGATCTCCACACATTGCACAACACAGGTGCACTCACTTACATGCAGGCAATGCACTTGTACACATAAAATAAAAATAATAAATATTTTAATAAAGAAACTTTTCTATTGAAAAGAAACTTTGAGAACCTTCTTCCATTCCAGTACCATAGAATGGGAGAATAGACCTTGTATTTCTTGATCATTAGTGCAAGGAGCCATGTTTCCCAGCCCAAGTTTCATATATCTATGAAGGGGCCTCATCCACAGATTCGTAAGTCTTTAAACTAGGATTCATGTAAGAAAGCCAAAGTGGCTTGTTTTGTTTGAGTCCACATTTAAAGATGTAACCTATTACCTTGTGTTTTCCTTATTTACTACATTTTTGATACTTGTAGGAACTAAATAACAGTATATTTTTATTAAGAAGGAAGACAGACTGTACAGCTTTACAGGCAGTAGAAGTTTTCAGCTCACCTTCTAAAAATGTAGGAGAGTTTTTGTTCCATCTCATCAACAGCACTTGGTATTTTCAGTTTTTTTCACTTTAACCTTGAAGATATATGAATAATGATAACAGTATTATAATTTTTAAAAGATTTTTTTTTATTAGAGGTACCTGCAGAGGCCAGAGGTGTCAGATCCCCCTGGAGCTAGAATTACAGGTGGTTGTAAGCCACCTGACATGGGTGCTGGGAACCAATCTCAGGTCCTCTACTGGAGCAGTAGGCACTCTTTAACCATTGAGCCATCTCTCCAGCCCCAGCATTATAAATTCAATTTGTATTTCCCTAATTACTATTCTACTGACCTTTTTTTCATAGTATATGTCATTCATATATCTTCTTTGATGTGTATACTTAAATCTTTTTCTATTTTATTTCCGTTTGATTATGTGTCTATTTACATGTTCTTTATATATTCTGGATAACTTCATTTGTCAGATAATATGTCTTATATTTATTTCTCAGGCTGTGTTTGCCTTTATATCTTATCATTGATAGTACTGTTGTTATTTCTTTGTAGTACTAGGGATGGAACTTAGAAAACTTTAAACTTGCTAATTCTTTTCATATCCCATCTAAGAAATCTTTGCCCAACCTAACCTTGCAAATATTTTTGAGTGTTATGAATATAGTTCCTGTATTTAGGCCTGTAATACATTTTGGGCTCATTTTCATGTATCACATAAAGTGAGTGTTGAACATAATTTTTTGAAATATTGATCCAAACTATTCAGCCACATTTGTTGAAAAGATTGCTCTTCCCACTTTGAATACATTAAAGAAGTCCAACAAATACCCTGTCTGCTACTGTTTGTCCAAGTGCACTGCTATGACCTGGTATTGTTTCAACAGGTCTGCCAGAGACTGACAGAATATGGAGTTCATTTTCACCGGGTACACCCTGAGAAAAAGTCACAAACGGGAATTCTGCTTGGAGTCTGTTCTAAAGGTGTCCTTGTGTTTGAAGTTCACAATGGAGTTCGTACCTTGGTCCTTCGCTTTCCATGGAGGGAAACAAAAAAGATTTCTTTTTCTGTATGTCCATTTTAACCTCTTTTCACTATATTTTTGAATGAATGTAATCAATTTCCAATGTAACATATTAACTGATTTTCATTAGTAAACTTTAATACTATTTAATAAACCCTTTATTCCCTCTTAGTTATAGGAGGCCTTATGAGATTTTTGTTTCTGATTTCCTCAAGAGGTAATTTTTCAAAGTATAGGATACATTCCTAAGTGGTTATTTGCTCAATTAACTTGAGTTAAATTACAACCAAGTTGAATTTTCTGTTAAATCAACTTATTTTAGGGTTATAGCTTCTCACATGGGGAAATTCCCCTAATGTTTTAAGATAGATAAATATTATTCCCAGTAAACCTTGTTGCGTTCAAGAGCAGAGCCTTCATAGCACTTGTCATGTGACTCTCAGAGGTCCAGTCACTTAATGGACTTCTAATAAACTAACAGAAAGTTAGTCCCATAACTTTCTGCAGTTCTAGGTTTTAGTGTCTATTCCCTATGGAGATAAAGTTAAAAGAGTGATTTTTAGGACAAAAAAAAAAATATGTTTACAGAAGATAGCTAACTCTAAAAGCATATTCCAATTTTTGATGTAGAGTATGGGACCATTGAAATTTAATCTGGAAAATTCAGAGATGAACAAAACTATTTTCAAGATATTTATTTTCCTAATGGCATTCTAGGGTTACTGACATCTTCAGTTCATATCTAAGCTGGCGTACACTCTCACCAGAATAATACTAGAAGGATACAAAGTTATTAACGCTGGATCCTGAGTAAGGTTCAACCCAGAGACCTTTGCAGTCAGCTCTAGACCTAGTGATCAGTGAGTGTTCCCTGCAAAATACAGAGGTGCCACTGAATTACCAGATAATAATTCACTCTTTCAGGAAAGCCCAGACTATCCTCATCTTCCCCGAAGTGCTAAAACTTGGAAATTATCTGGGTTTATTTTAATTTCTTCCATTGGGAATTTAAGTAGAACAAATATTTGAAAGAAACCTTAGATTAGATAAGCTAAATACAAATCTAATTTTGAGTGGTTTTAAAAAAGGCATTTGCCCTCCAGACAGCCATGATACCTTCGTGTTTGAAGATCTGCAGCAGCAAAGGAGACTACATCCTCCTGTCCCTGAACACAACCTCCTTTGTTTCTTAACACAAACCTCCTTTTAATTCTCCCTTTTTCCCCAACTAACTTCATAGAGATGGAAGCCACCGTCTGCCCATCTCATCTCTCACATGAGTTTCTCAGGTGCAGTTCTTGTTCCTTTGGTCGGTCAGCCACAGAGTCAATCATTCTTTTAATTTGTCTCAAACCAGTACATTCTTTTTTTATTAAATAATCTATAATATCTCTTTTCATAATTATTCTGGACCTACAGCCACCTTTGGTGGGTTTTTGTGCCATGTCTCTCCTCATTGCCTTGTGGGTTTTTTTTCCTTTTATATTGAATTTTTGTGAATTTTATAAAGTATATCTTGATGATATTTAGATTCCCTCCCCTATCTGCAACCTCCATATCATCCTCCACCCAATTTCATGTACTCTCTATATAAAGGCCCATAAAATCAAATTTGTGCCCCCAAAATGTCTTTTGGGGTGGGTTCTTCCACTGGAGCCTGGTTTACCTACCTACCAAGAGTCACACCCTTAAAGGAGACTGACTCTCCCCTTCCAAGTATCCATTGGTTTCCAATACTTCCTCAGGTAGGATTGGGGTTTCTTACTCACTTACCCATGTCTATGCTGAGATTTTGTCTGACTTGAGCTACATGGTACTTGCACATGCTATCTCCATTGCTGTGAGTTCATAGGTATAACTGCCCAGCTATCTGAAAAACTGTTTCCTGTGGTCATTGACTACTTTAGGCTCTTACAATCTTTCGTTACCTTTTCTTTGATCCCTAAATCCTTGGGGACAGAAATTTGATATAGGTTTCCAATTCAGGGATGATCACTCTGTAGTCCCTTATTCTCTAAACCTTGGCCAGTTGTGAGTTTTGGGGTTAATCACCATCTGCTGCATAAGGAAGCTTTTCTGCTGAGAGTTAAGAAATGCATTACACCATTAATATAACAATAAATCATTAGGAGCATAATAATAGTACTAACCTCTCCCCTAGCCACATGTTCCAAGGCCTGATATCAGCATCAGACAGGGGCTCCATCTTATGAAGCAGCCCTTAAATCCAATTAGAAAGTGATTGATTACACCCACAATATTCGTCCCGCTATTATACAAGAGGTCATATCTTACCAGGCCAGTTGTTGTTGAAGCATGCAGTATTCACAGTTGGGTAAGGTTAATGATTAATTTTTTTTTCTTCCAGTAGCATGCCTAGGACCTTCCAACACTGTATAAGGTAGCCAGTAGAGATGAAGCTTTGAAGTCAGCCCCAGTTTGATTTCTCCTTATTAGTTCTACAACCCATATATGTAGTATCTTCAGCAGTAGGGTCTTACCATCAAGTTCTGGTAGGTAACCAAGAGTAGGGGCAATGGCCAATATTGTTTGACGGTCTGTGAGACCCCTGGTCAACAGTCAAAAGAGGACATTCATCCCTGGCATTAGGCTTTTACTTTGCTAGCCTATGGGTCTAGTAGGAGCAATGTACCCTTGTTATGAGGTAACGCTTTTTAATTTTTTATAATGTATATGTATATACTTTAAGAAGCTTCTATAGTGGTAGGTATAGGGCTTTTTTTTAAAGGTCTGTAGTGTTAGGTATCACATACTTTTTTTGACTAATTGAGGAGAGTCTATCTTTTATGTTAATGTTTCAGTCACTGGGATATTCGTAACTATGGATTTCAATGTCTTTGGGAACTACTTGACAGTAGTTAAGTGGTACAATTATTAGAAAAAGGAAGTTACCCAACTAATTGTACTACTAGTAATCAAAACACTAATTTGATATTATTGTATTTTTAACACCTCTCTAAAGCTTGCTGATTTCCACTTTTAACAAAGAGAAATCAGGTTTGGTCTTAGAGATTTCCTTGATAGCAATATCTACCTAGAATTTAATAGTGTTATTTTATTGCATTCATTATAATTTATTTCTATAATTGTATTCTATTTATGGCATTGGTGCTGGTTTCTATTTAAAATTGTAACAAGGTTTTTTAATGTGGATTTATTTAAGTAAGAAAAGTCTACTTAAAAGTTTATAAATAAACAAGGCCATAATTTATGAATATGGGAAATTTGGGTAATAGTCTCTTATTTATTTTGAGGGATCTTATTTAATTTTACTTTTCTATGCCTCTTTCTACATTTGAAATAAAGATAAGAGAAATAAACGAGAAAGACTAATTTGCACAGAAGGTAAGAAGTAGAGTTGATTCTAACTTCATTAAAGTGAATGCCTATTATTTGCCTTCAATCCCTGGGCTGTTGAATGCTTGTATTCTAAGGTATAAGAATCACCTGCAGGCCTCAACATGGGTCACAGATTCTGGGAAGCCCTCTTTACTTAAGACACATCATCTTTCAAGAAACATCAGCCAAGGAAAATTGATTTTTTATTTTCCTACTTTCCTTGAATTTGGTAAAAAAAAAAAAAAAAATAGCTGTCTTTGACTATCAAAGCATTTTGTGTCTCAAGTTATGTCTTCTGGTACCACTCCATTCAGATATTTTCTTTCTTTTGTTCTTTGGTTCTCTCTCTCTCTCTCTCTCTCTCTCTCTCTCTCTCTCTCTCTCTGTAAGATGTAGGATAGGTACCTTGTCCAGGCTGGTCATGAATTCTTAGGTACTCAGGTGATCCTCTTGCTCAGCCTCCCATGTACGTGGAACACAGGTGTGTGCCACCATGCCCAGTTACCCACGTTTTCCCACATCTACTGTCCTAGCCTCCCCACCACCCAGATTCTACTTAACTGAATCACAGCTCTTACCATTGCATATTAATTTTTTTAATTCCGTTTAATTTCACCCTCCTTTCCTAAGGGAGTAGAATACACAGTTCTTGTCTTTTTTTTTTAAACAGTTTTAACATTTGTAAGCATTTCCATCAACTCAAAATAGAAATAATATTTTTAAAAACTTATTTCTATTTGAGATAAATATGCTTAAAGTATATTATATATTTTCATGAAACCCTGGATAATTAATGTTGTTACCCTTGCTGATAAATGGTGTGCAGGTATAATTTAAGCTACAATTTCCAAAAGTGATAATAATAATTTATTTACTAAGTTTGTTTATGATTATAGTTCCAATAGTTTTATTTGGTAGAAGTTAAAAAAGCACCCATGCCTAATAGGCTAGATAAGTTACACTATTTGGTCATATAAAAAGCCATAGGAAAGCATTCTAATTACAAATGCCTCTGATTAATATTGTAGAAAAAGAAAATCACATTACAAAATACATCAGATGGAATAAAGCATGCCTTCCAGACAGACAGCAGTAAGGTGTGCCAGTACCTGTTGAACCTCTGCTCTTCCCAGCATAAGTTCCAGCTACAGATGAGAGCAAGACAGAGCAACCAAGAGGTCCAAGACATTGGTAAGGAGAGGTGAACTGTTGCACATGACTCCAGGGTATATACATGATTTTTGCCACAAATTTTAAAAGAAACTCAAAAGGTGTTTAGGATGAAAACTTAGATGGTATCTCTCTATTAAATGTCTAAATCATCTATAAAGGTGTAAAAGATGAAACCAGGATCTCAACTTCATACTGATTTTGAAAATAGCACTCCATAAAAGTACAGGGGACTCTTGAAATGTTTATCTAAGGGTAAGGCTACGAAACACTAATACACTGTTTTAAGATCTTAACAAAGTATGTCATACAGGCTCTAGGATCCACATAGAGGAAGAGGATCAGAGGAAGAGGATCTGAGCACTGGAGAGATGACAGTTGGTTTGGATTTGAGGGACAAAATCTTAAATAGTTTGGAAATCAATAAGGGAAAGAACATGGGAAGCAGGCCAGAGGCAGCAGGGAATATTCTCCCCTGCAGTGAAAAGTCAGGCAGTTTTGCAGAGCAGATTTACCACCTGCTAGTCTGCTTGGAAGATCCCTATCCTGAGGCTAAGATAAATCACCATTGTAACCAGTATAAAAGGTCAGGAGATGGGTTTTCAACTGCAAAAATAATTCTGTTCTGGACGGAAACCTCTCAGTCAGACTGAAATATTTAAGGCTAATCTGCAAAACTACACATAAAGATTAAAGTGATATGAAATCACTTCATTACAGGAAATTCTTATAGACATGGATGGAATGCTCTGAAGTATGTGAGCAAAAGTTTTATAACATACACTGGTGACCTGTGCTTCTGAATTCTTTTCCGGAACTTTCTCTCATTCTGAAATCTTAGATGTTTCTCACCTCTTAGAATCAAAATGAAGGGAGGCCAAGTGTTCATTTAAAATGGAGATTCTAGAAGCCTTTGTGAAACCTGCAAAATCAGGTCTTTGGAAGTTGAGTCCCTAGAATCTACATTTTAACTGTTTCCTCACTGTTGATGTTTATACATGTTAAAGTATGATGGCCATGACTATAATCACATTACCTTTTATTTTCCTGCTTTAGTCTGCTAAAAAGTATAAATGCTTTAAAGTATAATGACATATCAAACCTATTACAGCTATCAGCATTCTTACTTGGACTAATATTCAATATAAACCAGAATTGAACAATTAAAGATTATATCATTTTATATTATATGTAATAGAATAAAAAGAGTCAGAAGATGAAAGTATGGAGTTACTGTTCTGTCCTCAACATTTCTTACACTAAGAATATACATAATAAAGTTTGAGTATCCCCCATCCAAAATTTTTGGGACCAGAAACATTTCAGATTTTGAAGTGTTTCAGATTTTAGAATATTTGCATATACATAAGGTGATATATTAGGAATGAGACCTAATTCTAAACTCAGAATTCATTTGGTTCTCATATTCTTCTTACACACATGAGTCTGCAGGTGATTTCATATGCTATATTTAGTATGCTTATATTTTGACTGAGACCTATCACATCACATCAGGCATTGAATTGCCATTTATAATGTCTGCTTAGCACTCAAAAGTTCAGCTCTTAGAGCATTTTGGATTTGGGTTTTCCCAATTAGGGGAATGATTAACCTATAATCAGTTATGAGCATCACCTCTGAAATAAAAATACCAGTGTTCAACCAGACTAATTATAAACCCTGAGGCCTCAAGGAACCTGCTTAAGCTCTCTGTCTTAATTCCTCTATGTAGAAAAGCATTGCCATAATGATTATCTTTACATCAAAGGTAGCTGCAAAGTAAAAATTAATTCATCGCTGTAGAGCACTTTAAGTGTGCCCTATCCCCAGCAGACTGGTGCTGGGGATATATAGCTCAGTGAGAAAGCATTTCTCTAGCATGCATGAGGTCCTGGGGATATGATGTGCTCAATTCTCACCACCCACCAAAAACCAGTTTAATAAATATAATAAGCATTCATTATTATCATCACCATCACTATATCACTATTATCAACACTGCAGCCCTGGAAGCTGCAGTGCTGTATTGATAAGCAGCTGCAGTACTGATTGGTAGGAATCCAGCAAAAATGGCAGGCGCTTCCTCTACACGCTACCATATGTTCTATGCTATATACCACATCCCAAGCAGTGGGAATATAGTAGTAGCAGAATGACCTAAGGAAGAAAACTAAATGTTTAGAGTCTCATTTTCTTCACCCATGAAAAGGGAACACTCTGCATATCTCACAAGTTAGGCCTTGGGACTAAAACAGCTAGATATCCTTGAAGTCATGGTAAAAGCAATTTAAGATGGTATTGTCTGTATGCGCTCCCGTATTTTGTAAAACCTTCAGAGGAATTATGTCCTCCTTAGAATTAGGTTAGAAGTAGCCATTTACTTAGCTGTACTAAACAAGTGAAAATTACTGGTGTAGTCCATAGGAGTACATTAACAGTGCAAAATGTTGACACTAGAAAGAGCCCTGGAAGTCATTAAGTCCCAGTTTTACCAGTGTTCAGAGAACAAAGAGCCTTCCCTAATGTCACAGTAAGAGTTCCTAACGTTACTATTCCTGTTTCAAGAGTTTACCAACAACTAATTTTCGTGAAACCATGACTAAGCATTTACTGAGCACTTAACATTCCTAAGTAGTAAGTATCAAGAGGTGGCAGAATAAATGAAGTCTCTGTTCAAAAGAGCCTGCGGTGAGGTTGACATATAAGGAAGTAAAGGGACTGAAAAGGGGCAGAAACAGATTAGGTGTGGATTACAGACTGTGTGGAGATAGCAAGGCTCTGAGTTTTAGTTTGAAGCAGTAGCATTCAAAGGAGACAGGCTCCTTTGTCTTCCCCTAACTGATGGTGATGCTGGAATATGGTCCAGCAGTGGGGTAGATGGTGATTTATACTCATATCCCATGACTGTTCTTAACAGCAGACTGTGAATGGATTGAAAAGCAGTTTATGATGTGCTCAAAAGCAAAAACAACTTAACTGGTCCCTTTATTGTTGCCAAAGTTTTTGTGTAAAGGTATTCCCTGCAATTGAATTAACTCTGTTTTCCTTCTTAAAGATTGCTCTCACAGTAAAAGAAAATAGAAGTAGTGTTTTTCTGCTCTAATATATTTTAAGTTTAAGATGATTCTGGGAATTTTTAAACCAAGGTCTTCAGTTCCCCTTCTATTTTAGAGAAAGAATGTTGAAGTTTCCTGGTGATGATATAATTCTGGTGTATGAATATTAAAATCTCTGTTTCCATTTGTCCACATGAAATGAAATACTATTAATCTTCTAGGAATTAGAAGATACACAGAATGGGATCCAATGGTCTAGTCAGTAATCACATTTTCGTTTTAAGGGAAGCTTTCCCAGCTATTTGACATATTGGTCACGGTTTACTGCAAATAGCGTGTAACACTATTTTGCTACTTTCCATGGGAGACCAATGAGAGTGATTTGTAATGATGTGATTTGCTTAATTCACAAACACTAAATCATTTGAAACTCTGTGCTCCTAGTCCTCTGTTTGCATGTGATGCATTGGTTTTGCTAATATCTTCAAATGTCAGAATACTTTTATGCAAAATAGAATAACCAAGGGCTTGTCCTAAAGTATTTCTAAAGTTAGCCTCTAAAAGAAGGCTTTGGTCCTACAATTAGTAGGGAAAGAGATTTAAGCATAGGAAGAGCCCATGTTTATAGACACCAAAAGAGAAGAATGATTAGAACTCTTCAACTTTCCCCTGGCCCTTGTGTCTTAGTTAAATCATGAAGTCACCAGGGTAGGAAGGTAGGATCGGCATAGTAGAGAAATAACAATAAAAATTTGCCCTAAAACCTTTCTTTTTGGATTTTAACAGCATTATTTAGCTATAATTTATGTAACATTTGTATGTGACACATACAGGTCAGTGGGGTTTAATAGTATACTCACAAAATGGTACACCATCACTTTAATCTTCATTAAGCTTTTTTAAAAATATAATAATCCAAGTCTTTTTGTCTGGTCAAAGCTCTGCCCTCCTTTTTCAGGCATGGCCACCCATCCTGTTCTCATCTCCTCCTCTCCCCATCCTTAAGTTGCTGATAATTCAGCAGAAACATAAGGGGTGAAAATGCCCCTATCAATGCCACTGCCATTTCTAAAGAAAGCCATAAGGGATTTGGGATGTGCAGGTCTAAGCCACAAATATCACAGGATAGAAGGGAGTTACTGAGTGAAGCAGGAAATGCTGAATGTGCTTAGACTGAGTGAAAGCTAAAAGGATGGAGCGATGGTATGAAACCAGGACCTTCAAGCTTCCTTCTAAAAACCCTTGAATGCCACACTTTGAAAGCTGTCAGCTGATGCTGGCCGTCGAGCTGATTAAAACCAGCATGCTGTATTTCACTTATTAAAATAACTCTTCTCATAAAGGTATTGCAGTGTTTCCATCATGTAAAGCAATCCTATTTCCTTGTAGAGAGAGCTTCGTTTAGGAGCCTGAATCTGCAAGCAGAGTCTGTTAGAGGATTTAATATGGGACGAGCAATCAGCACTGGCAGTCTGGCCAGCAGCACCCTCAACAAACTTGCCGTTCGACCCCTGTCAGTTCAAGCTGAGATTCTGAAGAGGCTATCCTGCTCAGAGCTGTCGCTTTACCAGCCATTGCAAAACAGTTCAAAAGAGAAGAGTGACAAACCTTCATGGGAGGAAAAGCCTAGAGGGATGAGTAAATCCTACCATGATCTCAGTCAGGCCTCTCTCTATCCTCATCGGAAGCAGGTCATTGTTAACATGGAGTCCCCACCACAAACTGTTGCGGAGTTGGTGGGAAAACCATTCCACCCGATGGCAAGATCTGACACAGAATCTTTGGCAGGACTCACAAAACTTCCTAAGTAAGAACATGATTGACTAACCCAAAGTACATATCTGAAAATTCTACATTTCATGTGTTTGTTTTGTTTAGACGTTTTATTAATTTCACATTGACACTTCCCCTCCTACCTTCCTTTTCCTTTAGTTCAAAGTCTGTTGCAAGTTTAAATAGAAGCCCTGAAAGGAGGAAACATGAATCAGACTCATCCACTGAAGACCCTGGTCAAGCATATGCTATAGGTCAGCAGTAACAAGCATATCTTCTTTATCCCATACCTTGTGCTCCTGGGGAAGTAAAGAACGATTCACTAACAGTATACTACTATGGGTTCCATGTCCTAGCTGCCAAAACTGCATATAAACTTAAAACACCTCAAGTAGTCAAATCAAATCAAAATCTGATTGAACACAGGGCTGGTTCACAGCACCAATACCACTTAGCTTCCTCTTGGTCACAGGAGCTGTGAGAATCCTGCGGAGAGAACACAGACAGCCTTGCACATGGCTCTGCATTCATTGCCTTTCATTGGTTTTTGTCTACAAGCCAATGAGAATGGACTCTGATGGAGCTGGATTTGTGGAAGGATATATTTAGGCCTCTTTCAGCTTACAATGTATGGAATTATCTCCAAAACCTTAGACTATTTTATGAAAACTGCTATGGATGATAGATGGCAATTCTTAATAATTTTTTTCAAATTCTCCCAACTGGCTACTTGGGGCCTGTTAATTACTTAAGCATTGAAGTTATGCAAAGCTGGGCATGGTAGCACACTCCTATAATGCCAGCACAGAGAAGACTGAGACCAGACTATCATAAATTCAAGGCCAACCTGCAATAGATACATATGAAGATCCTGTTCTAATTTTTTAAAAAAGGAAACCATACATATGTGTGTATATATGTGTGTATGTGTGTATATACCTGCACATTACCTTATAAGATAAGTAATTCTTTGCCTTGTGCATCTTAAAAGGGAAATATGGTAAAGCCAGTCTTTAAGAATAGATATTTGAGGGACTGGAGAGATGGCTTAGCAGTTAAGAGCACTGACTGCTCTTGCAGAGGACCCGGGTTCAATTCCCAACCACACATGGCACCTAACAACCATCTGTAACTCTGGTTTCAGGAGATCTGATGCCCTCTTCCTGACCTCCACAAGCATTGCGTAACATGGGTGCACTTACATACATGCAGGCAATACACGCATACAAAGAAAATAAAAAATAAATTAAAAAAAAAAAGATTAGATATTTGAGCTGGGCTTGGTGGCACAGGCCTTTAATCCCAGCACTTGGGAGGCAGAGTCAGACGAATCTTGTGAGATCAAGGCCAGCCTGGTCTACATAGTGAGTTCCAGGCCAACTGGAGTTACAGGGAGACCCTGTCTCAAAACAATACAAAACAAACAAAAAGAATAGATATTTGAGCATAGAAATCTGAACTAACAATCGAATTATGAGCAGCTGAAGAGATAAAATAAGGATTCCCTCTGACATTGTTTTAACCAAACTCTACTACTTATCTCTCTCCTTAGGCCTAAAATTTAGCCCTGATTACTTAAAGTTAAAACTTATTTTTTCATTTTGTAATTGGACTGGGGATATATGGAATAAATGAAGTCAAAAGAGAACTCTGCATCATAGTTTATAAATATTATGGAAAACAGCATTACTTTGTTGAATGTAGGCATTCACATCTTTCAGAGATTATATTATCATCAATTGAAATTGAATCACATAAAAATCCGAAGCAGATAAGATACAAGATTTTATCCTAGAGGTAACCCTGTGTTGAAAGCCATCTAAGAGATTGATCAGCCTTTTAGGAACTAGTTTTCAAAGTATGCCTACATATGGTGAGAGCTCATAGATTGTAAACTCATCCCATTAAGATTTCATCCTAAATGAAAATCTCTCCTATTTCAGGAGAGTAGTAAATATCCTATAGAAAAGCATAGGTGGCCTGGTATGCTGGTACATGGTATGTGTTCCCAGTGCTTGGGAGATAGAGGCAAGGAGAATCAGGAGTGTAAGGCCAGCCTCGGCTGCTTAATGTGTTTGAGGCTAGCCTGGGCTACATGAAACCATATCTCAAAAAATCAAAAAGAAAAGCATAGAATAAAAAAATTTACCTGTGAAAGTCAACTTGTTTTCTGTGTTAATTTTATTTAATTTTCCATTCTCATCAAATATTGAGTTTTCTTTTAACATTTGGACAAATGTTTTTAAAACTTATTTCATTATATATATCTCACATTTCTTGTATCAAACTGTCATTGTCAGAAACATACATTTGGGTTTAAATTTATGCTGCAAAACAAGTGAATATGCTTAATTACTATTTAAAAATATTAAGTATGCACATTTCAGGAAAACATATTTTTCTCAATATAAATGAAAGAAAGGTTGCCACCTTAATGTTTCATTGATTTTTTTTAATTAATCTATTAGGAAAAAATTACTTCTATAATATTTGGCCATTTTATAAAATGTCTAATAATTTAATTTATGCCACAGGAATGACTTTGCCTAGTTCTGGAAATTCTTCATCCCAAGTACCTTTTAAAGAAAATGGTAGGTTTACAAAATATTTTTCCCCTCTTTGCATCAGACCCTTTCTCCTGTCTTGTACCTTACATGATAATCCGGGCATAAGCATGTAGACTCTTGCATTCCATGCCAAGGATTTAGGCCTTATATTGCAGTTAAAGGAGTGTCATGGTGGTGTGATGGGACCTGGGCTTGTGCTGTCACTGAGAAGGTAAATGATAAAAAGTTAGAGAAAAGGACTCTTGATTGAACGGTTAAGACAGGAGTTCAGGTAAGAGATAATTTTGACAAAAAAAACTTTAACTCAGTAATTTGAAGGGATGCTTGAGCTAAATCTTTTTTCTTTTTTCTTTTTCTTTCTTTTTCTTTTTTAATGCTAGGACTTGTACCCAGGCCTCACAAGAGGAGGATTGGGTTTTCTGAGAACAGCAGAGATAATATACATTCCATATTAAGGACACAATATGATTAGAGACATGGAAACAGCACAATTAACAGCAAGAGTCTCAGTGTGGAGGCCTATAGGGTTCAAATGAAACCTGAGGCCATATGATGAGCCAGTTTTGAGTCTTGCCCTGAGTAGTATGGGCACAGTTTGAATACATTTAAATGTTAATATTTGAAAGGTAGAAGAAAACCAAAGTTATAGAGACTCAGAGTGGGCAGTACTTGAGTTTCTTTTCAGATTTTTAGAAGTTAGAGTCAAAATACTTTTGCATGTGTTATCTGATGTTTCTAACAGCTTTATGGGTAGAAAAAAATGCTCCATTGTTATCTGCACACTACTTTCCTCCAAAAATGTTTCAGAGTCTTATTCTCAGATTCTGAAAGTTAAACTAATCAAGACCTGGTGAGAAAGAAGCAAGTCTGCAACAAAAATTACTAATTTATAGGAGCTGGAGAGATGCTCAGGGGTTAAGAGTTCATACTGCTCTTACAGAGGGCCTGCATTTGGTTCCCAGTACCCACACTTCGCACCTTACAACCATCTGTAACTCCTACACCAGGGGGTCCGACACCCTCTTTAAGACTTCCACAGGCACTCCACTGATGTACATACCCACACACAGACACACAAATGCATATTATTAAAATTTAAAATAAAAAATTAGTGATGTAACTAAACTTGATAAATTTTCCTATTAATAAAGGCACAAAGGAAATTAATGAGAGTAAGGTTGAACCATGTAGAACTGGGGTTTTTGTAGGCCAAAACTCTCAAGCACCAGCATGCTGTTTTTCATGTCCTATATTAATTCTCTGCTGGGCATGGTGGCAAACATCTTTAGTCCTAGCACTCAAGGGGCAGAGGCAGTTGATCCTTGTGAGATAGAGGCCAGCTTGGTCCACATAGTGAGTTCCAAGCCATTCGGGGCTACAGGGAGACTCTGTCTTCCAAAAACTGGCGGGGTGGGGGAGGGGGTGCGGAGAACAAAAGAAGAAATTTTTCTTGGAAAATTATAAATGAAGTTAATTTATTAAATACAGCAAATGAAAAAGAGTTGAGGGATTTGTTTTGCTTTGTTTTTCATCCCCATTTTGAATTTATCAGTCGTCAAAGAAACTGAAGGCATATCATAAAAGGAAAACTAACTAACATATGCATGGATCTAAGTTACCAAGGTTACATCAGGCTATGTAGCTTTCTGATGATCATACTTTTTACATGGACTGAGTTTTGATCACCTGCATGTCTAGCATAATTTCACTATTAATATGTCCATGATAGCAATAATGTTGACTAACACTTATGGAGTGTCTACTGTGTCCCAACACTGTTCTAAACATTTACATTATTTCTCAGTCCTCACAATAATCCTGTTAGGGAGTGCTAAATCTATTTTCTTTTTACAAATGAGAAACCAAAGCAATAGGCGGCAGTGGAGCCATGATCTGAATACAGCCAGTCTGTTTCCAGAACCCAAGCTCTAATTCACACCATAGACTCTCTCTGGCATGATGCTGCTTGACTATTAGTAATAATATATCCCTTGCTAAACTTGGATGGAACGGGCAATAGCATGCAATGTGTTTTAACTTAGGTTCTGATAGGAGAGAATGTGAATTTGCACTGGATAGCCATGAGCCTGTACAGATTTATATGTTTCTCTCTTTAAACTTTTTGAAGCCTCATCTCATCATCTGGCCCCTACAGACTGGCCGGTCCACCTGCCTATCAGGTAGACCCCAGATATCTTGCAAATGAGGCTTTGTTTTCCTCAGAATTCCTTCACAATATTTCCAAGTAGAATGTGATCAACATATTTTTCCAAATAAGACAGCAAAGGGTCAGAAAGTTAAATGACTTGCCCATACGTCAGATGTGGGGTTTATTCTCACTTTAGTGTTCTTTCTGCTGGTCAACATGATTAGGAGATAATTAAAGGTGAGCACCATTTACTACTAAGTTATTCATTACTTAGAGTACAGATAAATTTTTATTCAATATTGTTTTTTGTGGTTCCCAAAGATTCTTAAAGAATGTGAAACTTGAAAGAGAAGACAAAAAAGTCATGTGTCTTCCACACCCACACTTTGAAATAAAGATATTGACAAGGGCGGGTAGTACTCATGTTAACTGATTAACTCAAGGCCCCCTCAGTGTACTCAATAAATATATTTTCTTTCTTAAAAAAAAAATACACAGATATAGAAAGGAGTCTAATCCCTTGAATGAGATTTCCAAAACAAATCACTCGACCTTTCCAAAGGTTACAATTCCTCATATAGGAATAAAACAAAAATATGTAAAATATCCACTGTTGAAAGTGACTTTTGGCTAAGTTTATCATGCTGTTTTCTGAAGTGTTTAAATCACAAAATACATGTATTTTATGAAGTCAAACATAAGACTCAAGATAAAATATAAAGAATAAAAAACTTCCTAAAAAGAAGTTATTCTGGTCCAGAGTAACATATTAAAGGATATTAAATTAACCTTTTCCCAATATTAATGCTAGTGTCTTTATGACCAGTCTTTAATTCCAAGTAATACAATGACAAGTAAGATTTTATAATGCACTGGTATAAGTTATCGAGGACTATTAAATATAATTTCAAATGCTAGTCTTCCTGTTACTAAAGCTTAATTAGAATGCCTACAAAGTTGAAAGTTATAATTAAAAATAAAAGTTAAAAGTGCCCAATAAAAATTGAGCAGACAGGAAAATTCAGTAAGTTGAAGGCCAGTAAATTGAAGATTGAAAGGAAGGCTTTTCATTCTGTGGATGGTATGAATCTGATAGTTGGCATGTGTGAGTCCAGTTGTCTTAACTGACACATAAATAAGAAAATAAATTTTCTTCACCAGAGTGGGTAGCACACTAAATGGCATAACAATAGGAAATGTCTGTTTTTATACTAATAGGGTGCCACTGGCCCATCATACCCAAAGTTTGGAATAAGTCTTTTCCCTGGAGTGTTAGATTATCCACTGCATACCCTCACCAACTCTTCCCATCAGTGGCCTGGGGCTGCCTGATATTGACTAGGGTGTGTGTCTATAACTTAAAAAAAAAAAAAATTCCTTACTGAAAAAGTAATTGCACCACTTCCAGATTGATTTAGATTGTTTTTATATAGCCATCTCTATATTTCATTTACAAAAATTCTGCCCTACTCCTGGAGATTTTGACTCCATTTTAGCTTTTAGCACTATCAGAACAAAGTCCTGCTGTTCCATTCGTCACTATTATTTCAAGTATTCTCATTGAAGACTACATAACATACACAGGAACTTCATGAAAGACCAGAAAGTCAGCATTTGAACAGCAGTCTCTAATGAATAGAGGGTGGACATATAATTCTAAATTACACTTGTTTCCCAGGTTGGCAGTACTGAGTGTAGCAAGGCATGTTTTACGTAAAGAACTGGACATTTTAAGTTGAGATTCTTTTTCACTTTCAAATATTTGAAAAAATTGTTGAGAAAAGAATTATTTTATGGATTTAAGAAAGTGCTGAATATTCATGCTGTTTTCATAAAGTTAAGATAACTCAAAAAGGTCTTGATACTTAAAATATCTAGCTGCTACAGAGAGATTCATAAACTATTCACAGAGTAGAACTGTAGATAGATAATTTTAAGTTTATTGGATTGTCTTGGATGATATTCCCTCAGATACACTTCTGCTGATTAAAAAAAATGGATGGAAAAGGTATTTTTGAGCATCTGCTATGTAAAGAGAATTGAAGAAAAATTGACATTCAGCTTGTATACAGCATGCAAGTATATAGAAGTATCCTGAAGCTGCACATCAGTTCCCTCTTGCTCTCCTCGCTGATCAGTCACTTCAGAAATTACTAAGCCTGAGATGGGGCAGAAAGTCTGCTTTTGTTATTTTGTTTTAAGAGTGAGCTAGCAGAGTTTCCTTTTCTAGTCAAATATTCATTCAATCCCCACTACTCTGATCTTATTCTCTAGGTATTTCCTGGTCTTTCACAGCTAGTCTTCCTGCTAGCTCACCTTTTGTGAATGTCTGACTTCTGCACCGTAGTCAGGTATAGATTCCATTCATGACCATCCTACCCTACTTTCTTGACATCACCACCTTTACACCCAACAGGAAAAAGCTGCCCCTCTGTCTGTGCTGCAGCACTTCCTAGGGCCTCTCTGTAGGCCTGGCAAATGCCTTTGGAATGCAGCTCTTTCACTGACAGTAACAGCATTCCACTTCATAGAAAAGTTGGGCCTTGACTTCCTCACACTTGCTTTCTAGCTACTTTTCTATGTTACCGTATTATATCTCCCCAGAAAGTCCAATGATAACATTTTGACAAAGAAGTTGCTCAGTAAACATTTGAAGGGTAAAAGAATAATTTAATAAATAAGTGCTGAAATCACAGTTGGGAATCCTTGAACCTTTCTTGCTTCTAATTAGGGAGACACACAGACAGACAGACAGACAGACAGACAAACACACACACACACACACACACACATACATACACACACACACACATTCATTAGCCCAACAGATGTTATAAATAACCCATTCTGGCAACACACAAGTTAGAAGTGAAAGTGAAGAAAGTACGTTTCTTATTCTTTGGATGAGCACTTAATGACATCTAGCATACATTCCATTAAGGAATTAGGACCGTTAAGAAAATGGATTGGAGACAGAAAGACTATATAGATCAGGTATATTTTTCATCACAATTGTGAGGAAAGTTTGCGTTTAAAACCTAGCAAGGTTAAATACCTTTATGTTCTTAATGAGCAAGAGAATAACTCAGGAGCCATGATTTCCCCCAATCTAGTTTTTTTTACTATTATTATTCTGTCCATACTGCCAGGGAATTTGCTTTTCTGCTAACTACACACATTTGGACTTATCAAATAGGATAATGAACTTCATCAGTTTCCAGGTATCCTAGTCTGGGGAACCAAGAATTTAAATCTGATACTTGTTTGTGGAAAAGGATGGAAATTCAAAGCAATCATTTAATTGCTTTACAGTGCACTTTGATTTTATCTGTTTGTTTTTTTAAATTACCAGCTCACTTAAACATTTCACTGATTTCAATTTTTAATTTGGCCTCATTGTTTGATTTGGTTTTATGGATTGTGTTCTGTGTTGTTTTATATTTGTTTCAGCTGAAAACTAAAGCTAATTGCCTATTTTAGAGCAAAATAATTGAGGATGTTTAGATAATTTTATTAAAGCTGGGCATTAAATAATGGATGGGGGCTGGAGAGATGGCTCAGCGGTTAAGATCACTGGCTCTTCTAGCAGAGGACTTAAATTCAGTTCTCAGCACCCACATGGAAGCTAACACCCATCCATAACTCCAGTTCCAGGAGATCTGATGCCCTCTTCTGTCTCCACAGGCATTGCATGACACGGATACACTTACATACAGGCAGGCAAGACACTCATACACATTAAAAAAAAAATGGGTCAATGAACTTTTCTTAGGACTCTTGATACAGATGACTCCTCATAACTTTATCCATTGATATTTTGTGTCATGTTATCAATAAAGTTATTAGAGATACCAAATTTTACTATCCTTATTAATTATAGATAAGTTTCAGATTTTTAAAAATAGCATATACGGGGCTGGAGAGATGGCTCTGTGGTTAAGAGCACTGGCTGCTCTTGCAGAGGGCCTGGGTTCAATTCCCAGCACGTTCGTAGTGACACTAACAACCACTTGTAAGTTCGAGGGGATCTGGCGCCCTCTTCTGATGTCCATGAGCACTACATGACATGGATGCACCTATTTACATGCAGGCAATACACTCATACTCAAAAATAATAAAATATTTTAAAAAATAACATATGCACTATAGGGAACAACAAATATATTAAAATGGTCCTTAAGATGAAATAATGTTTCCTTAGACTATAAGAATCTATTTCTAGAATTTGAAGTATCACTTTTTCATCACTTAGACATTGGGGCATATTGTGTAACAAAAGTGGCAGTTATGATAACATATTAACACAATTTTAAGTCCATGGATGATCTTATATGTTGGCATACATAAGAAAAAAAATGCCTTTATTCATAGTCACTTGGTTATTAGAAAAATCTTTACGGAGGTTTAAGTAAATTGTAAATTATGCATTAGTGATGCCATGATCTCTGTTCTTTTCTAAAAACTTCAATATGCTTGAGTTGGAATACATAGAAAAAATGTCTTTATTCATAGTCACTTGGTTATTAGAAAAATGTGTATGGAGGTTTAAGGAAATTGTGAATTATGCATTAGTGATGCCATGATCTCTGTTCTTTTTTAAAAACTTCAATATGCTTGAGTACTATGTAAAGTTGAATTTGAAAACTCAATTCATAAAAAATATCTTTCTGATAAAAGGTGGCCACTAATAGGGCCACATTCATACACAGACTAATTTACCCTGTCAAATAGCAGTCAGTGTTACTTATTTGTGTGTGTGTGTTCACGCACACGCGCACACGTGTGTATCTACATACTTGAATTTTTAAGTATATTAATCTACTGAATTAACATGGTGATTAAATGTCATATTTAGTGTTTTAATCAAGATGTTTGTGAATGATTAGCCTACTTTTTTAAAAAAGTAGAAACTAGAAAAACAAATTCTCATCCTGCTGCTGAAGTTTATTTAGATAATCTGATTAACTACCTTTACTAAATATTAAGCCATTGTTCTCAGTGGTGATACCAGCTATAATGTTGAATTTAAAACTGCCATTTCTCATCCGCTAAATGGTACTTGAAAATCTTTGAGTGTGGATATGCTAAATAAGTCATTATTAGTGAGATTTTAGAAAAACAATTCCAGTTTCTTCTTACTACTATTTTACTCAAGTGCTTAAAATATTTTGCCGATGGTAAATAAAATATCAAACTATTTGAAGGAAATACTTAATATGATTATTGTCAAATTGAAACATTCAGCTGTGATGTAGCAGAAAGATGGAATCAGAAAATCTAAGTTTGAGGATTCAGTTCTTCTGTGGTACTGGCTGAGTAACACTGCTCAAATCACTTATGTTCTTGGGATTCAGTTAGTCATTTAAATTGAAACATACTGTTTCGGGGGAATGCTTTGTTAAGAATAAATGTGATGCACTATGCTTATAAATGATAAATCACTCTAAAATGACAATAATACTAGAAACTTTAAGATTTTTTAAGTGATTGATCAATCTATTGATAATTTTGCTATTGTTATTTCAGAACAAGCTGATCATCCTAATGCCTGTTTATGTTGTTTATTTTCTTTTAAAATTATAAATTTTTAACAGATATACTATACAAAAGATGGAGCATTATATCGTCACCAGAAAGGGAGATCACCTTGGTGAACCTGAAAAAAGACACAAAGCATGGCTTAGGTGAGTCACTGTGAGGTGCTGAAAAGTCCATGGAAATTCACAGGAAGAACTGACACAGCATTAATACTGAAGCACCACTGGCCATCGCTTTCCCGTTTTTGCTTTTGTTTTATTTATCTTTTTTTTCATTAGCATATAAACAGGTTTGATTGTGGCATTTTCATGCCCTTGTCCATCCTCCCTCTCCTGGGCATCACCTCTGACTAAGATACTAAATGCTCACCCCCAACCTATCACCATCCTTCACTCCCAATTTCTAAATACCAAAGATGATATACAAAGAAATATTTCCCCCAGATTTAATAGTCTTAGTCATATTTTATCTAAGTATCTATATTTGTTTCAAGAAAGTAACTTACTAGTCACTAAAAGAACCAGAATCAAAAAAAAAAACTTTTTTTTAAATGTGCTATTTTACAGGATTTCAAGTTATTGGTGGGGAAAAGATGGGCAGACTGGATCTAGGTGTATTTATCAGTTCAGTTACCCCTGGAGGACCAGCTGACTTGGATGGATGCTTACAGCCAGGTACTTTGCATTTTGATAATTTCCCAAGTACTTCCTAAAGCATGAATTTGCACAGAGGACAAAAATGGAACTTAAGCAAACAAAATACCGAGAAAGGGACAGCATTTCTAAGACTTGACATCCCTTTTTCTTTGTCGTTAATACTGGATTGTGTATTTTCCAGGAGACCGTTTGATATCTGTGAATAGTGTAAGTCTGGAGGGGGTCAGCCACCATGCTGCAGTGGACATTCTGCAGAATGCACCTGAAGATGTGACACTTGTCATTTCCCAGCCAAAAGAAAAATTATCCAAAGGTATTGCTGAAAATGTCTCATTGTAAGCACTTCAGTATCTTGACCCAATCAGTTAGATTTAAGCTGTTCATTTCTTTTCTGACAGTTTGATACGTGTGTTTTTAGTACATGTAATTTTTTTGCAGTTATGTTTTCATTTTCAATTCTAAGACTTTCTGCATCACTTCTCTTTAGTAATATATAAACAAAAATTAATTCAGTTGTATAAAATTGATGTCACTTATATTCTAGTATCATGATATATTATTCCTTTCTTCTTAGTCCAGTGAGAATTAGATCTGGCCATTGTGTGACTAATATAGTTATATAATAGTTATCTATAAAGTCTTGTCCAAACTTCAGTTTTTCTGAAAAGGAAAAGAATAAACTAGAGATTTACTAAAAAGACCATGTCATTCTTTCTTATAATCACCCCCATTAGCATGTTGTAGGAAAAAAAAACATGAATAAGATCAAAACTTCTGAGTATGAGAGCTGGAGAGATGATGGTTCAATAGTTAAGAGAACTTGCTGCTCTTACAGAAGACCTGATTTTGGTTCTCAGCACCCATGTCAGGTGGCTTGCATCCTCCTGTCACTCCAGTTCCAGGAGATCTAACACTCTCTTCTGGCCTCAGGCACCAAGCACATGCATGGTACACATACATACATGCAGGCAAACACTCATAGATCTAAAATAAAAATAAATCTTTTTTTTAATTGGAAGGGTTGGATGTGAGAGAGGTTCTTACTTTGTAGCCTAGGCTTGTACACAGCACAGACTGGTCTGAAACTCACAACAATCCTCCTGCCTTTAATGCCTCCCAAATGATGCCATTAAAGGCATGCACCACCATGCCAGGCTCATGGTTGGGTAATTTTAAAGAACAGAGATTTATTTCCTATAGATGTAGAGACTGGGAATGAAGATCAAGGGACTGCATCTGGTGAGGACCTTTTTACTGAGTCATTCTGTAGCAGAATGCAGAAGAGCAGAAGAACACACACACAAGAGATAGAGCTCACAGAGTCAAACATGCTAAAATGGCAGTAATTCATCAAAGATGGAGCTGACATCCTAAACGCCTCCCTTTAGGGGCTGCCTCCAACAGTGTTGTACTTGGGATTAAGTTTCCAGCACGTGAACTTCAGGGGACACATATCATAGCAGTTTTTAATTTTGCTTTGTTTGCTAATTTCTTTAAAGTGGAATATTGACTTACTAAAAATGAATCTAACTTATACAAAACCCTTAAAATATGTAACTCCAGAAAATTCTCCTTTGACTTTTGTTAGGAACTATACATAAGGAATTTAGAGATGCCCACCTTGACAATTACTTGGAGTCTAAAACATACACTCTAACTGGGCATTTGGCTCAGTGATAAAGAACTTACCTTGTATTCACAAGGCTCTGGGTTTGATCCCCAGCACCACCCCCCAACCACCCATATATATGTGTGTGTAAAATAGATAATAGTACAATATATAATAGTAAAAATATATAAAATAGTAAAATACAAAGACAAGGATCAAAAAATAATAGTCTGGTAAGATAATATAAAGCAGATATCACGTAAACAGAACCAAGAAGTCAGGGACTCACAGCTCAGTAGTAGAGTGGTTGCTTCATGTATGTGAAGCCCTGGGTTCAATCTCCAGCTCTGCATTCAATCAATCACCGATTTAATGAAAAGACCAATAACATTGAAGACTCAAAGTATAAATTACCTCTGGAACCAGGAAAGTCTTCCTAAGGGAGAATGGAAATGAAAACGGAGTTGGGACAAAAAGGTACCTTGACACATATGAGGGAGAACATATGTCGATTTTTTTTCTGAGATTGTGTTAACTCACTTAGTATAACAGTTTCTAGTTCCATCCATTTACCTGCAAATTTCATGATTTCATCTTTCTTTACTGCTGAGTAAAACTCCATCGTA